GTTTTCAAATATCATATTACCTATGTAGTTTTTTCTATTTTCAATAAAATATTAAACGTATTATTGTAGTTTTATTGAAAATACCTCTGGTTGCGAAATAATTGTCAGAATGTCTATACTATTTTCATTTTGAACGGTATCATCCTGTATAATAATACAGTACATCGTATACAGGTTATGAGACATTCTGACCGACCGACCGACCGACCAGAGGAGCCCACCACGCTATTTAGGTCACGCCTTGCTATATACGATTTAACGATATACCGTCGGTCCATCGATCCGCTATTTTTCGATGCACCCCTGTATACACGTTCTGAATGCCCCCCGTAATCACGCCAACACCAGACAGGTGCGACATCGGCGCCATCTATGCGCGAGATGCCCAACCCATCAATGGCAGCTGTCCAATGACACATAGATTCCGTTTGGTTTGTACAGCGCCAAACAAATCGGCGCCATCTATGCGCGAGATGCCCAACCCATCAATGACAGGTGTCCAATGACGTATGACAGATGACGTGTAACGCCATCTATGCGTGAGATGCCCAATGACGCATGACAGGTGTCCAATGACACACAGATTCCGTTTTGGTTTGACAGCGCCATCTAGCGGCGGAATCCCCAACTCATGATTACAGATTCCGTCCAACAACCTGTCAATGGCGCGCGACGCCAGCGCCTCTGGTGGCGGATTTGGAAGTTTTGAGACCGAATCCCCATAAGACATCTACTGGCAACCTTGCCCTCATTTGAGCAAATTTGTATCTCTTGCAGTTTCTGAGCACCCAACAGTCAGAGTCGAATTTGAAACACCCGGTATATAAACATACGCAACACGAATTTGCTTCGAAAATCTAGATCCGTTTGTAACCTTTGGCAAACAATTTTCTTTTATTTGGATCTCTGATCATATGGATATTGAGGCCAATGAACAAGCGCAGCTCGTCTAGCTGCCCTCTCACCAAGTATACACCACTTCTTAGAAGAAAAAACGCCGAGACACGTCAAAAGATTTGTCAACTTTTTAACCAAAAAGTACTTCACCTCCTTTCACCCTTGTCCCCCCAGGGTCATTTCATAAAGATTTTAAATGACAAGTAATAGCTTTCAAAGCCTTTATTTTGACGTTTGATTTTTTTATATCAGTCGATTCGATTTCGAGAAAATTAGAATATTTATCTTCATTTGTTCAGTTAGAAAACAAAAACATACGAAAATATCACTTTTTATTTCAATAAGTGTTCAAAATGTTGCCCGTTAGGCTTTGCCAAGTCTACAATTCGTTTATAATTCAAAACGGAAACTACCAATTCGTAAGATTAGACTTGGCAACAACCAAATAACAACCCGAATTTTTTTCCGCATTCTTTTTATCAACACAGGTATCATGGGCGAACTGTATTTATTTATTGTTATACCTATTTAGTTATTTGTTGCTAAGAAAAAAAAAATTAATTTGCTGTCAGTGACCTTTGTGACAATCTTGGGATAGTGAAAATTAATTTATTGATTCAGATTTTACTTTCAAAATGGTTTACACACTAGCCGAAAGAGTGGAAATGATTCTAATTTGTGGTGCCCAAAATCTATGTGCTCGGCAAACTGCCGTCGCGTTTCCGGGGAAGATAACGTCGCATGGGTATGTTGTGGACCTTGTTGCTAAATTTACTCAAACTGAATCTGTTACAAATAAAAAATGTGATCATCGGAGAGTTTTGAATGAAGCCGCTAAGTTGAAGTTTTGGGTCAGTTTGGAATAAATCCTAATACTTCATTACGCAAAGTTGTTGCTGCGACTGGTATTTTATTAGGCTCTGCACACACATTTACTAAACTCCATAAATTTCATCCATTCAAAATGAAAATATTGCAAGAGCTAACCGTAGATGATTTCGATAGGCGAGTTGAGTTTTGTGAACAAATCACTGCAGCGATTAATGATAATACCATTCATGTAAAGAATATCTGCTTCAGTGATGAATGCACATTTTATCTCAATGGGTTTGTTAATAAGCATAACTGCAGGTATTGGAGCAATGAAAATCTTCATACTTTTGTAGAAGGGCATACCCAGCACCCCCAAAAAGTTAATGTATGGGCAGACATTTTAGGAAACAAGTGATTGCGTGTATCGGCGTTTTTTCTTTTAATCCGTGGTTTTCGATAAATCCGTGGTGGAAGTTTTAAAATTAACACCCTGTATGTATGTAGATGTCCAAGAAGTTAAATCAGCTAACAAGAAGACATATATTGCATCTCTATCCACAAATGGCAACGGGGGTAGGATGCCAGCAACAAGAGTCTCAAGACTTCCAAATCACATGTCAGCAGTTATTTCATGCCATCTAGACCAAAACGACATTAAACTGTTAAACAGCATTGTCTACGTCTAGGCCATACATACGTAAGACATTCAGATTGATTGCTCTGAGAAGATCCACTGCTTTGCCAAGCTTGTAACATTCCCCTTAAATACATAGTCTCTAATTGTCTTTTGTCTACTCGTAAGTGGTCTGAGACTAATTTTCAGTATTTTTAGAAAGTTGTTAGTCTTGACTACAGACTCAAAAGAGGAGTGTATCAAATTTTTCTTATTTAAAAGATAGTTTCACTAGAAAATCTGAAGTGATTTGTTATTCAGATTTATATTCATGCAGCTAATGTCCTTTGACGCTATTGCCAAATCACGAATTCCTTCGTAAAATTGGTTAGGCACGCAGCTTTTTGAATGAGAAAAATTATTAAAATGCGATGCGACTTCATTTATAAGGGCAATGAAATTGAGATGGCTTTCCCGAAATTCCTGACTATATTTCTGCATTGAACTACTTGATCTTTTTTTCACTACATGAGAAATAAGCATTATTCAGCTATAAGAAAAAGTTACATTTCTTCCCCTAGATAAATAATGAATGTGCATATTTATGTGGAGTTTCTTTGACT